AATTAATTCGTGTTTATTTCTTCCATAGTTTAGACGAACTTAAACTCCCTATTAGCAAATAATCTTAGTTAACTTAATGACGAACTGTTTAAGTTTAACAGTGCTGGGAAAAAAGATCAAATCAACAAAAACTTTTTTAAATCTACATTTATTTTACTTAGGAACTTTTTTTTAAAAAAAATCAATTTGGTCTATTTTCCCAGCACTCATCCCATATTATAAATGTTGCAGTTTAAGAAATTTTATAACATATTAAAGCTGAGAATATTGAAGAAGAAAATGTAATTTTAAGCAATAAATATAAATAAATAGTTTATTTTCTAAGGTAAAAATAAATAATATTATATAATAATACTAATATATATATTATAATAGAATAAAATTATAATTTTCAATTTAGTTGAGTTATTGTAAAGATTCAGACTTTTTCACAATGATGAGATCAATTTTCATGATAATATAATTTAAATCAAAAAAATTTAAACCTTATTTTAGATGTAAAAATAAGGTGGAATTCAACATATTTAAAATTAGAACATGCATTTTTACTTAAAGTAGTAAGTAATATTTAAATGAATATTAGAAAAAAAAAATTATTTATTTATATTTTATATAGCCTTTAGATGAAATAATCATACTTGAACATGATTTGAAAGAATTTACTATTTCATCTTAATAATGCTGTCGCCTGGTGATTGCATGTTCATAATCTGCACGAGTTGTCGTTCAGGTCGATTTTGATTGAAGCACCAATGAATGCTGGGAATTGCGTTCCGTTGAACAATGAGTTAATTGCTACAAAAGTCAAAATATCTCATGTAAACCGTTGCAATATATCAATAGTGAAATTTATGGAAGGCTTATTATCATGAAATAATATATTAAAAATAGTTTTACTAAAATTACGCACACAAGCTTCAATATAAAAAATATTGGTCAAAAAGCTCAGCATGATCCTATAGGGCCGTGCGATAACCAATTTTGCATTTCAATAAATATTTGCTTTGACGATTTTGTGTTAAAGAATCCAAAAAAAAATTTATTTTTATTTACTAAATTCAATAGCATAATTTATAAAAAAGTCATGAAGATATTAATCAAAAAAAAAATATTAAATATAGTGATCGTTTGGTGTATTATTCATTATTATTTTTTTTAAAAAAAGAATTTATCTGCATATTCCACTACTTATATAATAGCAAGCAAAAAAATTTATCGTATTTTAATATTTTTAAATTAGGGATGTTAAATTGCTTCAATAAAATATGCTTAACCGAGTTTGAGCACAAACTTTCATAAACAAGTTTAATATCATGTTCAAGCTAGTTTAGCATCTTGTTAATTTGCTTCAATAGTCTAATCAAGCGCGTTTATTTAAGGCATTTGATCAAAATAGCTTCTTATATCAGATTTTTCAGGCCTTCAAACCCTAGTTGTGATATATGCACCACGATGATTGAAGATATTTTTAATAGATTAAATAATAAGCAGATTTGAACTAACTCGTTTGAGCAAACTATTTGAGTAATCTAATCTAATTATTTAACTTATAAGTTTAAACAGCAAGCTACATTGCTCAGAAGCTTGTTTTCCCAAAAAAAGTTTAGCTTGCTTCTAACTCAAAGCAGTATAAGCCGAACTTAAGCTGAATCGCTTGAGCAAATTAACATCCCTATTTAAATCAGAAAAACAATAATTGGGATAGTTGAAATTGAAAAATATTATTTTGTTTACAATAATTAAACGGAAAATAAATTTACGAAAAAGTATAAAAAAAAAAAAGTTAAATAAATAGAAATAAAATGAAACAAGCGAAAATAATAAAATAAAAAAAGTACATACTGCGCTTCCTAAGAATGAAAATTATTGCTGCGGCATTATCCAGCACGCACGCCTTAAAAAAATAATCTAAATTTAAAAAAAATTTATCGCCTTTATAATCGATCTAACCAGAATTAAGAAATCAAATTTCTTTTTATTCGTATCTGCACAAAGCATAAGGCCTCATGCATCAAGCAGAAAAAAAAAGCAAAAAGCATATGCATATGCATACCATATGCTATAAGAACTTCTGAAACATTTAAACCTTATTTAGCATCATAAATTGATTTGAAAAAAAAAGTGTGATTACAGTCAGAACTCGATATAACGAAACGATTCTTGACTTTATATTTGAACATAAAAATCGTTATATAGAACTTATAAATTTTGATAAACCGAATTATTTAAAAAATTTCATAGTAAACCAGAAGGTTCGCTATATCGAGTTCTGACTGTTTTTGCATAAATTATTATTTAAAAATCTTAAAGATATTGAATAAAATATTCCTTACATTACACTAATGTGGTTTCAATCAAATTTTTGTATATATAATAAAGAAATGTTATAAGTAAATTCTATCTATAATATAATAAAATTAATATTGTGACAATAAATTTTTATTCACATCCCTCGAAATTTTTTACCAAAATGACGGCAATGAAAGTAGATCAGCTCGACGTCTTAAAGGTTCAATGAATGCTGGTAAAAAAGACAAATTAATAATCAGTAATAAGAGCCACTTTAAGAACTTTTTAATTTTCGAATCTCATTTTTATTTTCACGACCAAAAACAGCCTCCCACAAGATGAATATTACACCGTGGTTCATAAAGAAAAAGGCGTGTTCACCTTGCCCAAGATCAAATTGTCCAATTATAAGGTATTCATGCAATAAAGAACTAATAACGAATGCACATAACACGCCCATCATATTTGCGATTTTCTCAGTGACAATTGGAGTGATTACATTCTTAACAGGTAAAAAACCTAGTTCTTTGAAAATTTCATCAGCCATTAATTGCCAACGAGCGTACCGGGCTTGATGCCATACATGGTTCATCAAACATATGTTTTGTATTGAAAAGATATGTGATCATCCATTACATTAGGGAGAAATATTCGGAAGGAGTGATTTGATTTTTCGATGAGGAATGAAGGAAAAAACGGTAAAAGATTGCATTAATATTAAGGAAATTTAAATATTGTAACATTAAAGGCATTGTAATCGCAGCAAATCCTTTCGTAAAAAATTAAATTAAATGAGTTGTTAAGAATTCTCTGGAATCACCATTTGTATATGTAATTGCATTGAACATTACAAGTTCAAGCATAAGTAATTTTGCAAATATAATTATGATGCGATTGATTATTTTTTGATTGATTTGTGAAGTCGTGGGTGATGTAATAATCAAGGAATTTTCTTTTCATTAAAATTTCCTTATTTGGAGGAATGATGTAAGAGTTAAAGATACAATTAAATAATTTCTTTCTTTTGTTTTGAATCATTTAAATTTAATCAAAGAACTTAAAAAAATAATAAACTTGCTGATCTAATGCACTTTTTCATTATCTATATAAAATAAATTTATTTTACTTTCGGTATTTATTTTATAATTAAAAATTCGAGTCGAATCCGAGTTAAGTCGAGTTCCTGTAAATATTCTTTACGTATCACTAAGCATTTAATACCTCAAATACTGCGGTAAGATCTTCATGTCTATCACCCACCATTATATTCCGTTATACAAAATATTTTTTGGGTTGAAAAAAAAAAATTTATTTTTTTTTAAAAAACCAAATAATAACAATGTCTGATAGTGACATTAAAGGTAAAAGAATAATATAATGCCAAAAAATTCCAAAAAATTCTAACAAACAAAAAAAATA